TGGGGAGACAAAATAAATTTGGAACATCCAACAAATTTGATGAATTAATACATGAAGAAGTCATCGTTATGACACTTCAATATAAAGGGAAGGTCTATTAAAAGGCATATAAAATGTTAGTATGGAATCCAGTCTTGTTCAGCTAAAATTTGCATCTCAGTCAATGGTGGTTCACTTGGACAAAAGCTGCACAAGACTGGATGCCAGGCTAACAAAATGTAACTGTATACATACATGTAGAAACAATTTGAAATTTTACCCCTGATTTTCCGAAAATTATGCGTCTTCTAATAATACACACATGTTCATATCTTGAACATGAGTTTTGCATTTTCTCTCAGTGTATCAACTATGTACTGTAAATGTAGCAAACTTTTGTGGGGGTTTTATTTTACTGTGAATTCATGATACTACAAATTGTATTACTACTGTAGTACAGAATTTTTTCAATTACAAATTCAAAGCACAGAGAAAACCACTCACTATTTCCCTCCTACCGTAAAATTTAACTGCAGAGAAATTCAATGCTTTTACAGTACATGTGTGTTACATCCAAAACTACCACAACCAATAGCATGTCATCTTGTTTTGAAACAGTCTACAGTACCTGTTGATAGTCCCACAACCACATTCCTTCCAAACTTCCCATCCAGACACGTCCACTGAATGCCCTTGGTTAAGGACTGGAGCTACCTATTATCTATTACAAACCTTTCCTTTACTTTAGTCATTTGTGCCCCCCTCCCCACTCAAAACTAAAAAAAAAGTCACTTGCTTTACTTTTAGATCAAGTAAAATCAAGTCAGCCCAGCATTTTCTTCTATTTGGCAGAGGCACATGTAGCTCTAGAATAGTACATGTACCTATAGAATCTCTACTTTACGATTTTCAAAGTCCAAACTCGTGATATTTTGATCTAATGAGGTATAATACATGTGCCATCTGTTTGTTATTTCCACTTAAATGGTTTTTCCCACACTATTACTCAATTCATCAATTCAATCAAAGAATACGGAAATTTTAAACTTCAAATTTGTATAACTTATGCCAATATATTTCAGTCCCCATGGAATATATGATGACATTAAAACACCGGTTGAATGTGGGTACTTATAATAACTAATATACAATATTAGATCTATATTGTTTTTTTTTAACCTACTGTATGTAAATTCCTATAAAACTGCTGAAAGAATTCTGTCAACACCTAAAAATAGGAAAGATCAACCTTATTTTCGACATTTCTTCTAGGAATTTTAGACACCCTCCACGCAAATTCTTGGAACTCATACATAGTACTTGAATGTCAACATGCAAATCAATAATCTGGGGCCAATGTTCAACAACAACTCTGTATGATATTTCATGCATGAAAGACAGATGCGAGAAAATCACTATATGCGGCTAACACATGCTCCAAAAAAGCCACAATTCTGCATCGTACTGTAAATTCACTTACTTTTGCATTGGTTTTATTTCACAGAATGAAAAAGAGGGTTTTCACTGGGTTTCAAATTCACCGTACAAACAATTCTGTATACTATGGTGGTAATACATTGGAGACACACATCCATGGTGCCATGAATTCGCAGTGGAAAGGTTACTGTGAAAATAAAACCATGGCAAACAATTCAAGCTTTATGGTACACACTATTCTTATATAAAACATCTAAAATATGACAAGACAGGGCTCGAAATACTTTTTTTCAGGTATGTGCAAAATTTCACATTGGCAAAAATTTCAGGTTAGACATCCAGGTAATACGATACGCCAAAAAGCAGTTACTCAAGCAACTGGATATGATTTTGTAAATGGTCAGAGGGGCACTTGACCTCATAACCATTATATACATAAAGACCATTATTATTACTTAGTCATAAACATTCCAAGCAATTTTGTGGTGTTTTACCTGAAATTTCCTCATGATCTATTATAGTAATTACTAGTACATACAGAATTTTCCAACATCAAAACAATACTAAAATTCCAAGTTATACTCACTGTGTATTTCTGTTATTATACTACAATATATCAACATAAAAACTGCTCATAGCAATAAATCATATATTAACATTACAATCTAAACTGAAAAGCCCTTGAATCAAAGTATGCTAGAGATGATTTCACAAGAAAAAAAGAAGAAGTTTGTACTACTAAATTGCAGCTTTGAATTATCCATTCAAACTTTATGGACAGCACCAATTTTTTTCTACCAAAAATCAGTCCTTTTCCTGCTCTGTAGAACCAGAAAATTAAGGTACAATAACAATGTATATGACACCTGATAAACCAAAATCACTAGACATATAGGTGTGAACTCTGCTATTGTCAGGAGTATGTGAATTAACAGGTTTCATTTTAACACCTGCTAATAATATATTATACATTAATCTGCTACTAACGCAACACATGGCTTCTGTGTCAACAGGATAGATCTGATATTTCATTCTCATTAACAATCTAACCCTCAAGTAAAGCTACATGTTTTAATGTGCTACCTGGTAATGGTATAGATAATTTTGCTACTAATGCAACTAATGGATTTTGTGTCCACATCATACATAGTTGTTCTACGTTCCTTTCCCATTTTCAATGATTTAACCCTGTAAGAATCAAGTAAATGTGTATGTATTGGAAGCCAAAACGTGATCATTATTAGTCCAGGTTTTAGGGTTAAAGATAAAACAGAACTATCAAGTTCAAACCAATTCAAAATATGGATTTCTGATTTCAATCAATTACTAGTATTTTCCTGTATTTTCCTACTAGTACTACACGCAGCAAATTTGAGGCAAAAGTTTATAACACAAAAAAAAGAGGGAAAATACCCAGGGAATTCACATTTTTCAGATGCAATCCAGAAATTTCAATGCTTAAGTTCTCTGTTACCCTTCAAACTGTTTTCCTGACAGAAATGCCTTCGTGTGCTGCCAACCATCTGTTTCATAGAGCTCCCACCCTTTATATAACATAACCTTTGTGTAAATACAAGAATAGCTTCTAATTGACCCACAACAGCAGCTATGACCTGCCAGTTTTAATATGTATTCCATGCTTACACAAGCTTGTGAACCCCCTGAGAGGCCTGACATGATAGTAACAATCTTTGTGCTGTTATACAACATTTGTACATACTGACAATTACAGGAAAGAATGTACTGATACAAAATGATTATGTTCAGTAGATAGGATAATTTGATCATATCCTCCAATCACATTCATTTTCTACTGATTCTATCTAACTTCTAAGCTTTGATTATCAGCGTTATGTAGCATTATCACTATCTATAGAAATATACTATAAATCTTTAAACTTTCACGGTGATTTTATTTTTGCAATAACCTCTCTGCTGCAAATTTATGACACTGCAAATATGCGTTTCTGATGTATTACTACTACATGTACTGATATTGTAAATTTAGAACAGTGAAAACCTCATTTTCTCTCCTATTCTGACATGAAACCACTGTGAAAATAAATGAATATACAGTAGGTGACCAAAAAAATTGTATACTCTTTTCATGACGTTACAAGAAATAGAGACAGAGGCAATAAAATTTCCATTTCAAACAGAATTACTGTCTTTTAAGAATTAATTTTCTTTCCTTCCGCTTCTAGGAATGTCAAAAATAGCAAAAGACTTTGTTGATAAACAACAAATTTTGCCTTTAGTTGAGGTCATTTAAATTCAGTTAAAGATTAACATGTCTTGAAATATCGACAATAGTGTCCTTGAAAAACTGCGTAATTAATTGTTAACCTACGACGTTTATCCTTTTGCCTGAGGTCAATCCAACATTTGTTAAACTTAAAGTAACGACCCACATTTCTAATCAATCATTAACTCGGACCAACTGGTTACTGTACTGCCAAAGGAAAGTGTCTTTTACAGACAATTCTCTAGTGACTGTGGTGGCAATTAGAGCCATTGAGAGAAATTTTCCACGGCTCTTTTGTAGTCTATTGTCATGGTAATGAAACATACGGTTGTAAAAGAGCATTGCTAATTGTTTGTTCTGGTGATTAAATGCAAATGGGGGTGGGGGTGGCACGGTTGACCAAAGCAAGGATCACATCTAAAGCAAATTTTCTTCTAAAATCAAGAAATTTTAAGAAAAAGAGAGCTACAAATGAACAGAAACTAAGAAAAATCGAGCAGCATTTCTGCTGAAAACATTGCGAGGAGTGATGAAAAACATACCCTGATCCAAACCACAACATATGGAAGATGTCAGGGGCTTGAGTTAATGTATTTTACAGGTGGGTCTCAAAAAAGTGTCTAATTTCAAACCACGGGAGCAAATGAGTGACTAGAGAAGAGAAGGATGCTCTCAGGAATGATAATGACATCCTTAACGCGAGTGATAAGATAAAACTGGGGCAGCCGTCATCACCATGAGGGCCCAACCGTGTCTGCTGGCGGCTTGCACCAAGCCATGACTCATAAACACACACAAACTCCGCACCGAAAATCCACTAAAAAAACGTCGTGTGACACACTTGGCACACAGGATGAACTCTCAGGAAAGGTCGTGGGAGATCTGGGAGCAAAATATGGGAGGGAATGCCGCAGGGACGCGTCGGACACTTTTTATGGACAGTACTGCTCGGTGACCTCGCTAGTCCTACGACCCAACGTACTCAGTACACCAACACTTCCTTTCGCTAAGGCTAGACGACAACAACAACAATCAACATTCCCTCGTCACCAGTACACGAATTTAAATCGCAAATCTACGTGTTGATAGATCTAGGTGTTGGCTTCGGGAGGTAGAAAAGCGCTGAAGAGTGGAGTTTATGTGTTCAGGGAATGGTGACCCTTGGCACTTGGGTCTAGCTAGACGCGTTTGGGCGAGACACGTATGAGCATCAAAACACCCGCACCAAAACTAGACGGGGGCATTCCTCGTAAAAGGGTAGCCGCCTGGGGGTGTACTGTTGGCAAGGCGGCTGAGACTAGGTTGAGAGGACAAGAGAAATGGTTGGTTGGAGTTTTACCTTGAGGTGTTGTTGTCGAAGAGCTCCCACCACTGGTTATCGTGAGCCTTTTTGACGGCGACTCCAACGGGCAGGTCCCAAACACACTCCCCGGTAACCAGGTTAGCAAACATGATCTCGCGCGACTTGGGCTCGATGATCTCGACCCAGTCGGCCCTCTCGCCCGCCAGAGACATCCTGGGGCGAAATCCGGGGCGCACGAGTCGCGCCGACGTGAGAAAATTGTCGGAAAGTTGTGAAGATTTTTTTCGCGACTGGACTCCAAAAACTTTGGCTAACAGTTGGTCGCCATTTTGTTTGCCAACTTTACGGCGCCTGCGCACTGACCTGTTCTACATGTCCAGTGACCCCTCCCTTGGGACAGTTCAAAAATCCCCAGGGGGGGACAGGATCATAAATAAGTTTGAAAAATCAATAATAATCAAATCCGCCCAAATTTATTTCTTCCCACTTCATTATTAGCAAGCGAACACCTAGAATACGCTGCGACAGTATGGGATCCATATACAAAGAAAGACAAAGACAAATTGGAAAGGGTACAGAATCAAGCTGCAAGATTCTGTATGAACAACTATGTAAGAGGTGCTAGTGTCACGGAAATGAAAAGAAACCTACAGTGGACCTCACTTGAAGACAGAAGAAAAATGTCTAGACTATGCATGATGTACAAAATGACTAATAAACTGGTGGATGTCCCAACTACTAAGTACCTAATACCAGCCCAGAAGAGAACAAGAAATAGCCACGCATTCAAGTACCAGAGTTATCAACCAAGGATTGAGGTGTTCAAGAATTCATTCTTTCCTAGAACTATCGCAGAGTGGAACTCACTGTCACCAAGTACAGTAGGGGCACTGTCAATAGATAGCTTTAAACAATGTCTAGAGCTAGAAGTTCAAGGGTTAGGTGTAACAAGTCGATCGGTGTAATATAGCCAGCTGCCGCCGCGCCGCGTGCCTGCGAAGCTGGTGTGTTACGCCGAAAGGCGGTTATACCGGCTATACAGATACAGATACAGATACAGAGATGGTGATTGATAAAGTGAAGAAAATTGATGTATACCTGATAGCTGATTAGGTCTAGGGAATCAAATAGGTTAGAAAAAGTGATGTTATGGAGAAAATAGAAAATATTTGGGTTCTGACGCATTCAAATATCTAGTTAATGTTACAATATAGCATGGATCCGTTGCTCACTCACCGAAAGAGATAAAATGATATTTCATTATTCCTCTACTAAAAAGTAACATCACAATCGATGTGAACATTAAAAAATAGTTTCTATTATATAATTGAGTGCTAGTTGATGTCAAAGTTTTGTTTTTTTAACTACCTTGGCTTTTTACCGGGTTATCTATCATTTTGAGAAAAAGGGTTTGCCTTGACAAAGGTTTCTTGGCAACTTCATACGCGCAAAAAGGCTACACACCCCTTTGCTTGCCGTGGACCGTCCCCAAATTCCTAGAAGCCGGTGGGGCGTGGTCGCTCCGATGACTCAAAAGCGCCGCCTTTTTCTCAACACAACTTCTGTGCAGTTTGCCCGGCGGCGAACATGTGATCTACGGAACCGAGAGTCCCCATGTTCATACCTGTTCTGTCCCGGCGGCTTGCAGTTCTGCTTCGGTAGGATCTTCCTGCAGGAAGACGTCCGTAAAGACAGAAACATGCGGGCGGGCGACGTGCAACAAGTGGCCGAAGACAGTAAGTAACAGCTTCCGTCGTGTTTAATATTTGCGGGGATCTGTTGTTGAAATCTACCCGCGAAACTTCTCTACGCAAGTGTGTATTTAGCACCGTCTTCTTAAGTCTTTGCGTTGGCGTTCCTTCCAAGAACAAGAGCGCGATTTCAACCTAAATAGTGGCGACTCGATGTGATATTTTACACTTGCGTTACTTAGGAAAAATTTCTACTGTACTTCTACTGTACTTTCGCGGCCATCGCGTGCAGGTTTGTGATGTACCGTAGAACGCCTGAAAAGTTGGCGGATGCCAGGATCTCAGAGAGCGGAGAAAAAAGACGTGGGTGGCACGGTACTAAGTACAGTCATCAGTCAAGATCGGTTGTCACGATTGTCTGCGCTTTATTCCGTTTTTCTCACATAATAATCAATTATTCAAAAGTAATGATTTTGACTTTGCTATGATTATGATTTATTATTTAGAGATACTTTAGTGACTTTGGATTTGCTTCCCTGAAAAGAAAGTGTGCAAATAATTCATGAAATGAAAAAAAAAAAGTTTACACATTCATTAAGGTCATTTGTATACTTTGGACACCGTTTTAAAAAATGTCAGCCTTAATTGAATAGGTTTGTCAAATGTTACTAACCAATTTAAGTTACAATAGCCAGAATAACTTATCGGAAGGTGGTAGCACCCTAGCAGTTAACCTTTATACAACTCTGCATAAAATCACTAATGAGGGTATATTTGGGTTGTGTTTACCACGCTATCTCTGTTCCTACTGTACAGTTTATGTACAGGAGAGTGCATCCACACAGTAGCTTGCAAGATGGTTGTCAAGTTTGGACTGAACTTTGGTCCAATGTAGCAACAAACTGGCCCTGCCCATGAATGCAAAGGTCAAGTTATACTGTACTTATAGCAAGGAGGTCCAAAATACTAGTACCTGGGACCAAAACTAACTTTGCCCACAACAATAGAGGTCTTTCGTGATACCTTTTTACAATCTGGGATACCATACATTTTGGTAGTGCGAGAGTCAGTATCAGTTAGTGTATACAGTTGCATGGCAACATTGAAGCAGACTAAAACTAAACAAGACTAAATCTCAGCTACGTGATTGTACCTTTATGGTGTTTGCTCTGTCAAATTCTCATTTAGAGCCTGCAATATAACTACTGAACAGTCCATAGAACATTCTTTATTAAAGTGTCTGAAAGGGAGGTCAGATATGCAAGGTTTAGGGGCAGAAAGGAGTAAAGAAAAAGAGAATTACTAAAGAAATTGAGTTTAAAAGTTTTCAAAACAATATGAGTAATGAAGGAAAAGAACGGAAAAAAATACCAATCTGTTTCATTTCATTTTTCATTTCTTCTTTTGGCCCTAACAGTTCTGCAAAATCTGTGTTTTCTGAAAAAAAAAACACTTTGCATACTGTCATTAGCTAGATCAAAGGCTGGTATCATCATCATCATCTCTAATGTTGATGATTATGTGGACAAACCTGCATTTTTCCCAGTACCAATTTTGCATGCTGCTACAGACTAACCAGTAGTTTTCCTTTTGTTTTAGGCATCTGGTCTATATCTCACAGTTCTAACAATGATAAGAGAAGATGATAGCTACACATACATGTGTGTTCCAAGGAATCTCAATATTCAAATACTAATTTCATCTTTATTACAGATTGAAAAAAAACTATTCTTCTGTAAAATTTCAGAAAGTTACATTTTTTTTACTCTGGAGGGGTATATCAGCATTTGCTTGCAAATGTTACTCATTTTAGAGGTTTCTACTTTCTCCTATGTTGGTTAAACTGGTTAATTGTTACTGTCCAGTCAGCCCTAAGATGACGTTGGTGTTTACAAGTCTCCTCTTTCAAAAAGTAACGGCTATTTTTAAACCTACAGTTCTTGAGACATTCCAAGCATTAGCCCACCCTCTCCTAGCTGTTGTTTAGTCCTTGTTGTATTTTCTCACCTGCAAAGGTGACCTGACTGAGTGCCTTATTTGTTTATTTACTTCCTCATTACCATGGCAACATATTGTTGATCGTATTGTTTTGTTTAATCAGTTACAAGTCTGAGTGAAGGATGTTTCTTCAACTTTTGCTTTTTTATTGAAGATATTTTGCAGGAAAATTGCATGGATGCTTAATATTTTTGTGATACTTTTTGTGATACTGGGGTTTGGTATTAATTTTTTTAATATCTCATAGTGCCTGAAACTTAAGTCTTTTGTGCCATTGTCAGAAAAGTTGGAACTAGTTTTCACTGATAACAGAACTAGCATGTTACATTTTGTATCTGTAAAACGGACATTACAGTAGTCCAGAACCTGTTATAAAGGTAATGGTAATGATAACTATTGAACAAACAGACCATTATTGTAGCTTGATGTATAAAAGGGATTATGAAAGGCCATTGAAAATTATCATAGTTTTATAATAACAGTACATTAAGCTAAATTACAAGACTGCCTAACCATGCAGTCATTGTTACAGTAAGGTGTAGCTCCAAAACTCAGTACAACTTGATACAATTGTACTTCATGTATCATATTTCTGAATATGGTTTTAAAAGTTATGTAACTCAGTGTCATAAAATGATGCCACCAGAGATGAGAATATACCACTAGCTTTTGACTTTACTGATATAGTGGCTCTTGTGGCTTTATATAACATGTTAGAGTGCTTAGAGTAAAGGGAAAAGGGCTTTATATAGCATAGTAACTAGGCTTAAAGTTGTCAAAATTATGGTTAGTTTATAATGTAACTTTGAAATGCCAACTTGTGCTTTTAACATAATGCAAAACAATCTTTAGAGCTTTACTTCTTGTGACTTCTGACATTTGTAATATATATGGTAAGGCCACACCAATTTAATTTGTTAGTTCTCGGATTCGCCTCTTCGTTTTTTTCTGATTTGCAAAAAAAAAAAAATTTGATTCTGGTCCTGAATCAACTGAAAAATGCTCATGTTTTGCCCCCAACAGTTGAGGAAAGTCCTTTTCTTCCTAGTTGTTGCAGTTTTCCCATCTATCATTGCAGTGGTATGATTAAAAGTTCAAAATTCAATGTTTAAATTTTAACCCAGCCTTTTGTGTTGACTTCATGGCTCATTCCATAGCATTTAAGCCTATAATAGGATGCCTAGACCTGTTTTTATTTTTATTTTTTTCGCCCTGTCGCTTCATATTTTTTCTGAAAAAATCCGAGAACCAACAAATTAAATTGGTGTGGCCTAAAGTGAAAACGTAAAGGCATGGATGGGAGAAGGAATACTGTGTCACTTTCTCAGTGTTATCATTCCATTCTAACAGCAGGAAAGGGTGGTTTGCCACATGTCTTCAATGCTAAGCGTAGATTGACCTTGCTCTTGAACTAAGTAAAAGGTTGAGAGTTTGAGTCCCGACTGTTGTTGCTCACCCATGTTATTTAACGTAACCAGAAAAGATTGCAGTTCTCTAAACATTACGTTGCAGGGCGTTGTCCACTCTTCATTGTTATTCTCCAAAAGCGTAAAAGAATTTTGCCGGTACATTGTACCTGTATATACTGTACATGGTACCCGTCTTTTGTTACATTATGTGTGGAACTAAGCTGTGTAATTGGACTGAAATTAGATCAAGCTTTTTTTCAGCCCCCCTAG